GCACGCAAACCAAATTTCGAGCACTGTTCCATTTGCAAGTCAGAATTTGAGAGCTTGCAGATGCAGTCAGTTCCAGAGTTAAATAAATCCTGTTTATTATCAGCTGATCTCAGCAGGTCAGGTGCCAAAGGGTTAACTCTGTGATGGGTGCTGATGACACTGGAACACTGATGATTTTGCATTGTGAAAACATGCTGCGTGTGAACAGATGGCACACGGACACCTCAGGATTATGTCTGTATGAATAATTCACTATCAACAAACCTGATGTGTCTCTGGGTGACATCTGGTCTGCGCCGCTGCTGCTGATTTCTGTTGGATAAAAAGATCCTTTCTCACCATCAGAACCATGATTAGATTTTCCTCAAGAGTAATTTTATTTATAGAATGTAGTGGCTGTGGTTTTTCTGTGGAATGCCATATGGTAGATTCATGACTCCCATAGATGTGTTTATATGAAACCTAAATAAAATGATTGTATACTGACACTTTCCATATACCAAGAGTAGACTAGAAAAGAACAGAAAACCTTTATTGTCATTGTACAAGTACAATAAGATCAGAAGTGATACTTCTGAAAAAACTGCAAATGTAAAAATCCAACAAAGACATGACCAATAAATACAATACACACAACCCATATATGTTAAAATAATAAAGGAAGTGATGTCCTTTTAGTCAGAATGGGAATTCTCAGGACATGTTTACGAATTGGTAAAGTTAAAATGTTGGATTGCCCAGGGAAAGAAACTATTCTTGAATCAATTTGTTTGGTTTTTGGTGCCTCTGTGCCACCTACCAGTTTGTGGCCCGGATGGGAAGGGTCTTGTATTATTACCCAGGCTCTACAGAGGCACAGTGAGCTGGAGGTGTCTTCCAGAGAAGGCAGGGAGCAGCCAGACATGTTTTTGCCACATTTATGACCTTCTGCAGAGTTTTTCTATCTGCACACCCACCACAAGCAGGTTGGAGAAAGAGATAGCCCTGTGTTGGACGCCTGGTACTCATAATGTACAGCTGTAGTTGTATCTTGATTTATTCCTATCAGAGAATTTAAAATATAAAGAAAGGTCAGCTTTCTTATAGTCACCCTTTCTAAAGACTGAGAGATGCACCATTGTGAAGAGTGGCATTCGGTGCCACTCTTCACAATGGTGTGCAATGTAAAATTGTCAGGCTGCTCAGCGGCCGCTGCCTCTCTTCCACCTTTCTCTCCTCTATTCTCTCTATCCTGTGGGCTCTGCACCTCAGCTGTGTTGCATTCCAGTAATTAGCGACTGGTTTGTCGATGCACACAGCTGGGGTGCATCTCGATGATTACCTGCTCCTCCTTATTTATACCGCTGACAGACGCTCCAGTTTCACTGGAACATTAACCAAGTACCGCGTAATGTATGTGGATAGAATGTTACACTGACAGTTTCTGTGCGTTTTGGCTTGACTCTATCACACCACTTATGCCGTTAGCAATTCGTGCCTTTGTTTTCCACGCTGACAGTTCCTGTGCTGTGGATTGCATTGTGTACACTGGTCTTTTTGTTCTGTCACCTGTCCGTCTTCATCTTCCAGCCCTTTTGGTTTTTGCGTCAGTCCCTGGATTCACCTGTTTGTTTCCCACCATCTCTACTCTACCTGGACTTTCATATACTTGGACTTTGTTATGTTCTTTTGATACTCTGTGTTCTTTTGTAACCAGCAACCAACATGTTATTCCCCCTAGCACCTGGGTCTGCAAACTTGAGCCCAACCTCAGTCCTCCCTCACCCTCCTGCTGAGGGGGGCTGCCATAACAGAAATGTCCTTTACATTACTACCATTACATGCTGCTGAAAGAATGGAAGATCTAAACACTTCAGACCTTTAAGAGTAGATGGTGGTCTGGTCTATTTTATTATTCATTGGAAGTTGGATTGGGTGGATCATTGAATCAGACTTCAGCAGTCTTCCAACAATGCTTCAAGCTAAAAAAAAAACATGCACGCTTTTAGGCAAATAGAGCATGAGAGAGCATGTAAGTGTGTATATAGATATTTTAATAATTAGCCCCAGTGCAAAACATCTGAATATATCAGGAAGAGAAAAAACCTCACCTTGGTGGGCGCTGAAGTCCAGTGTGATGTATGGACTACAAACACTTTGGAGTTTGTGCCACTATGCAACTTTCTGAAGAATGAACTGGGCACCATCTTGTGATCTGGTATCCAGTTCTCCTACAAATATCCATGATGACCTCAGGTCAAGCTACATGATAAATGAGGCTATATGAAAAGCATCAGGCCAATGTGCTCATAAAACTCCAGATATCTCGACTTAAAACAATACAGTCAAACCTGGTTCTTCATCTGAAGTTGTTCAAATGTGTGTTTATTCTATTGTAGTGCTCTTATCATAAAACTGTTACTTGTTGCTTTCAATGTCTTTCACTCGGTATAAAAGCGTCAGGTCAGGGTTGCTGTGTTTGCTTTTGTTCGACTGATACGTTGTTAGCGTGACACGGCTGTGAGCTGCAGGCTGCACCTGTCCTGTGTGTTTACTCACTGTTGATGTGTGTGTTTGCTCAGAGATAAATGACACTGGTAATGAGACTTGAGTGCATTAGTGTTATGCTGGGCTTCACATCAGCAGCCTCCAGCTACAACAGGCAGACAGCAGGCAGCGGCACAGGCTGCTGTGAAAGCTGATGACACCTGAATGCAGCCGCAGCAGCACAATCTTTTTAAAGAGGTTTTTTTTGTCCCTGATCTAGCAAAGGGAGTATCTGCTGCTGCACTGAACATTAACATCTGTGCACAGTCTTTCTGTTTTGTTAGTAATCTGTAACTAGAGCTCTTGTGAGGCTTTGACAGTGTCATAGTGGCCGAGGCAACTGTGCTGTGTCCACCTGATCCACATGTTTGTTTATAGCTGGAAAAGCTCACAGGGCCTGATGAGTGTGGATGCTGCAATATCTTGTTTCCCCATGATGGGACTCACTGCTTATATCTATGTGCAAACAAGGGGTGAAAACATGTGAGACATCTTTAGCTTAGCATTCAGCCATACAGGGGGAAACAGCTGGTCTGGCTCTGTCTGACAGTAAAAACTACCAACATCTTCAAATGTCACTAATTAAGAACAGGTTGTCTGAAGGTCCTGAAGCTCATACAAAGCATCCAGTTTACTCACACAAGGTTTTAGTCTTAAAATGGGAAAGCTCTTCACCCCTTTTAGACATGTATCCTTGTCGTGATGGCATCTGAAAGTGTCAACTTCAAGTCTGAGTGAGCGCCCTGCTCACTTTTCATGTGAATAAAACTGCATTTAAAAAATCTAAAGCACTAGCCTACAGTTTTAGCACCAAGACCAAATCACCCAGTTCCATCTATACATTTAAAAAGGGACCACAACTGTTGCCTCTGCTTTTCTACTCCACCAATCTGTGGCCCAATGCTTCCTTGCTCTCTGCTGTTGTGGAAGAGCAGAGTAGAGGCTGTGAGGTAATAGTGCGCAGGAGGGGGTGGTAGTGGAAAGACAAAGGGGGAGGGGGTGTAGCGAAGAGAGAGGGCATATAGGACAGGCATCACACGGAGGTGTGCCTGCAGACTGGTCGGGATCCCTTCACCACCTCGGTCTCTTCACACGCATCAGGTTAGTGAAACCAAACGCACCGTGCGGCAAAACAAATCACACACACCGAGTTGGGAAGCAGCGGCGGGGATGTTCGTTGTTATTTCCTTTTTTCTCTGGGCAGGCGATTTGCGTTTGTGTTGCAGCTTGGAGGATTTCAGCGGTGTGAACACGGAGATGAGAAGCGAGAGTGTGCGCACAGGTTTTTAGGCGTGAATTGCCGATGTGAGTGTTTATCTGCACAAACACACAGACGGTCTACAGGCTGCAGGTATCAGTCAGCTTCACCTGGCTGCGCGCTTTATTGTAACATGCGGAAACAACCCGGCGGGGAAGACGCGCTTTCTGTGCAAAAATCCCGTTTTTATATTTCTGTTTTGGCACTCGGGTGCTAAACATCAAGGCGTGCTGCGGATGAAACCTCCCTCCTCCTCTTCCTCTCATGCTCGGTGTTATCTAACTATCTCTCCGTCCAGGTGAAGGCGCATCTTGGTTCTTTCATCGCCATCTCTCGCCTGTAGGTGAATGATGACACAGGGAGGAGGAGGAAGAACAGCAGGAGGGTTTTCAGTGAAAATCACCGATGAGGACGAGGCAGACCCAGCGCTGCTAAAAGGGAAGGGCCTGGCCGGCTCCGGTCCTCCGCAGTGCCGTCACCAGCACGGAGCAGCAGCGGCGCACACGGCGCTTCTCGGTGGAGAGCGTGAAATACTTATATCGGCCAGTGCAAATTGTAATGCACCGGGATTTGTGTGTGTGTGTGTGTGTCAAGGAAATACAGTGCCCGTGCACGCGCATATACTGTACACGCAAACGCTGACATAGTGTTTGAAAGGTGCTTTTGTGTGAATGAGTTTAAGATGCAGGTATGTTTCCGTAGCCAATCGAGAGGCAGAGCTGAGCCATAGGAGCGTATAGTCATGTTCAGCAGCTGTAGCCAAGTTATTTCTGTGACTAAGAACATCAATGTTAGCCTAAATATGTTTTGTTGAGGGACAGAAGAAGACACCTCTGCGCCTGAACAATAAGCTACTGACTGTGGTTAATAGATCAGTAATATATCTGTTTTAGTTGATCTGGTGAATCCAGAAGTCGTCACATGATGCAAACATCTATGTCCAGTGTTGCCATGAAGCAGCCCTGCTCACTCATTTGCCACAACTCCCACCAACTAAGAGTTTTTTCAAAGTTTCTTAGACAGTCTTTAACCTTAATTGGCCCTTGTAGAGATGTGAAAGGACCAGGTCTGAACAACATGCATGCACCAGCTTGCTCCACCAGTCTGAGACCCTCTTAGAGGGGGCAGCAGTATCCCTGTATGTGCAGCCAGCAATGTGCTTGTTGCATCAAACCTAAACAAGAAGACACAAAGAGAATTGTTGGAGAGAACTGATGTGGGCTCAGGCTGACGCAGACTTCCCATCCCACCTTCTTCCATGGCTTATCAAAACAGTCCTGCCCTTTTTTCCTTTAATCCTGGTGGGACAGCTACAAACTTTGTGTGTGTGTGTGTGTGTGTTTGATGATCCTTAAGCCTTCATTTACCCAGGGAGGTTAAAGGGATCAGTACTTCAGAATAAGCAGTATGACACTAACTATGGTATATTAAACCCTGAGCTGTGCCGTGTGCAGGTGGAAATGTCAGACATCTGACAATTTTGGATATTTTCTGTGATCTCTGCATTAAGTGAGTTTTTTTTTCCATTAAATTCTTCAAAATGTAGTTAGCTCAGAGAAATGACAGCAGTGCTGCTTCTTTATGTGGGAACATAGATTTGTTTCTGCTCCACAAGTAACCAACAGTATAACTGTTAAGTATCAGATAACAAAAAGTGGCAGTCACAGGCTGCACTGTGTCACTGTGCACACAAGGCAAATAACACTACAGTGATAACAAGTCATCAGGCTCTCACACAACAGTTTGTGCCAATGCACACACATGAAAAAAATGATATATGCAATTTCAAGTATTTTCATCGACTCATTCAACCAAAAATTATGATCTACTGCAATTTTTAAATGCATCTTTTAAACTCAGTTTTAGTCCTAGGCATAGGAACACTCTACCAAGAGCCGTTTTGTCTGTATGAATACACTGTGACCAGAGCAGTGTGTCCTGGACATGGTATAACGGGCCCTTGAGTGTTTGTTAGTTTGGTGGACCTGGACTCTTAATCTTCATCAGGGTTGAGCTGATGAAACCCATTTTTATTTCTTTTTCTTTGTTTCCTTCCCTGCAGCTTAAGATTTGTTAACATTCAGCTCAGTGGGAGGAATTCCTGGGATCGGCGGCTCCTCCGCACGGTCACGCCCCACGTAGGCTCTACTGTAACAGCTCAGCTCTGCAACATCAGGGAGCAGCAGCTCTGAGCACTGAGACTGACAAAATAATTGACTTTGAAGCTCTGATGGCTGCATGTAGCGTGTTAGAGTATGGGTGTCATTTCTGGTGACCTCCGATCTGAACACCTTTGTCACGCCCTTTTGCCTTTATATGGCTGCTGTGTGACCGATCAGTGGGGCAGCAAAGAGCAGTGGGCCTTTATCACACTGCAGCATATCAGCAACCAAAGCAGATGAAAAGCATTATCTGCTGCTGTCTTTCAGCTGACTCCAGCCTCACTGTTAGGGTGAGTTATCAGTACCGCATCATTTCTCTGGTCTCACAATGGAAAATGTGGCAGAGCTCCACAGATGAATGAACCTCGAGCATGGCTGGTTGAATCTCTGGCTTTTTTCTCCTGAGCAGTGAGAGGTTTGAGTGACAGAAGGACTCGGTGTTGGTGTTCTCGCTTGGTCTGTTACCCAGCTGTTGCCATAAACAGACCTCCATACATGCGAGCTCTCACTGCACTGATTTGCCGTTAGCTCTAGTTAGTCATGCAGGCTGCACATTCACTGAGAGGAAACTCCCTGAACCGTTCTTTGTTCCAGATTGAATATAGACTTTGGGATTTGTTGAAATGCTCGGTGAAAGCAGTGTCAGTGACATTTGTAACAGGTTTCAGTGTATCCCAGCATTTGGCAGCTTCTTCATCAATTACTAACAGTGAGAGAGTCAAGTGGCACCTACCACGGCTGAGACAGGTCAGTCAAGCAAAACCAGCCCCAAAAGGTAATATTTGTTTTAACAATATAAGCTCAAGGTTTATTTAATTGCAGAGAATTATAGATGAAGAGATTCACATTTTATGTTGTTCTGATTTTAAGTCAGTATATTACAGAAGCCCTGAGGTGCACAGGGACAAGAGGAAGACAGTAATTTTAGATTACAGAGGAGGTAGGGACAGCACTGCTTGCTTGTGATTGGACAGAACCAAAGCCAACCCAGATCAGCTGACACTAAACAGAGGTAAAACTTCAACGATGCAATCTGTGAAGTTTTGTGACTGTGTCATTGTGTTTTCTCTTTTTGTTTTGTGAAATGTCGTATTTTGCACCTCAGGAAACCTGTAAAATATCGGTCTGGATTACTCCAAACATATCAAGTGTAAATTCATCTTTTGTATCATTATAAAACATCACAGACCTAAATGTAGTTGATGTGAACTGCCACTAAAGCTACGTTCACATAACCAGCTGAAATGATCTGTTAGAAAAATTATGATAGAAAAGTGATTTGCTACATTTCTGATAATTGATTTAGTTATTTTTCAAGCAAAAACTCCCAACATTCTCTTAGAAAATCTTGTAGTTACAATAAGTCTATTTTATTTTCTAAGTGTACGTTGTTATTTCAAACGTTAATATAAATATGCTGTTAAACTCCACATCTGCAGTTTGTCAGTCTACCTGTGTCTCTCTTCCTACCTGCCATTCAAGCGTTTCACTTATCAGCTCTGAATCGATGACTCATCCTAAAACCTGAGTCACTGACGCCTCCCTGTCTCACTGTATCTCGTACCTCTGATGGATTTCAATTGAGTTTCCCATTAGATGACTCATAGTAAAATATTTTGACATTTATAGCTTTTTAAAGACCACTCAGACATTTACTGGACTCGTGGACTGAAGTTCCCTGTGACCTAGGCTCTTCCTGTCACTTTTGTGTTTTAATATAAATTGCTCTCACTTTTAGATGTTATGTAAGGATTGTTCTGGTCTAGTGCAGCAGTGTCTAGGTAGGTGGTACATGTCAAAGTAAAATCCACATGAATGGCAGGACCCAAGGTTTCCCAGCAGAACATTGCCCAGAGCATCAGACTGACTCCATCGACTCACTGCCTTCCCATAATGCTTCCTGGTGCCACCTATTCCCTAGGAAAGCGACACAAGCACCTGGATGTCCGCGTGATATAGAAGAAAATGCTATTCATCATACCAGGCCCCTGTCTTCCACTGCTCCGTGGACCAGCTCTGTGGCTCATGTGCCTCTTGTAGGCACTTTTGGCGGTGGACAGGAGTCGGTATGGGCACTGGTCTGCGGCTACGCAGCCCCATACACAGTAAACTGTGATGTTCTGTGTCCTCTGACACCTTTCTGTCAGAACCACCATTAAGTTTTCCCACAATTTGTGCTACAGTAGCCTTTCTGTGGCTCAGACAACATGGGCTAGCCTTCGCTCCCCACGTGCATCAGTGAGCCGTGGGCATCCATGACCCTGTCGCCGGTTCACTGTTTGTCCTTCCTTTGACACTGTTGGCAAATACTGACTCAGATCCAGGAACTGCCTGTTCACTTGTTGCCCAAGATCTCCTACCTCCAGGCAGATTTTAATGTTGTGGCTGATCAGTCTAAGCGGAGTAGCAGTAGCACTTGATCTAAAAAAAAAAGTGTTAGCAGAAACAGTTTTAATAGTAGCATGAGTAGCAGCAAATGTGGGAACAGCAGTAGAGTCAGGAGTTGTTATATTATTCAGTGTGTGTGTTGTCATCCTCCTCCTCTCTTTAACACTGTCCTATAGCTGATGCAAAGTGCCAGTGTCCCCTCGGCAACAAACCTGTTGCCGGGATCACAGTGTCAGTGTTTGCCAACAAATGACGTTCCAGCTGATCTGGGAGAGAAGGCAGCTTGTGCGGCA